TGCTGAGCCAGCTGGACGCCGAGGAGGGCGGGGGCGGGGCGGCGGGGGCCTCCAAGAAGACCAAGAAGAAGGCGAGGAAGAAGGCGACGGCGGCCAGCGCGGCGGCGGGTGAGCATGGGGCCGAGGGCGGAGGCGAGGTGGAGGACGGAGGTGAGGCCGCCGAGCTGGCCGCCGCGCAGGAGGCCGCCGCGGAGAAGGCCGCCGCGGCCGTCGCCGAGGAGGCAAGGGCTGCCGCAGAGCGCGCGGCGTCCGACGGCGCGGCCGCGGCGGCCGAGGCCGAGTACGAGGCCGCGCTGGAGATGCGGCGCCGCGAGCTGGAGAGCCAGGCGCAGAAGCGGCGCCTGCACGAGACGGAGCTCCTGCGCCTGGCGGAGGCGGCCTCGCTGCGCGACGCCGCGGCGGCGCGCGCGCGCGAGGAGGACGCGGCGGTCGTATGCCGGGAGGAGGCCGCCCGCGAGACGCCCGCGCCCACGCAGGCGCCCCGGCCAGAGCGGTCCGCAGCGCCCAAGTCCGCGCCCCCCCCGGTGCCGGCCACGGCGCGCAATGCCCCGGCGAGGCAGGCCGCGGCCAAGGGGTCCGGCGCGGCGCCGGCGCCCTCGCAGCGCGTGCCCCCGCCCGCCCCGCTCTTCTACAAGCCGGCCGCGCCCGACGGCGCGCCTGGCCCCCGCTCGATGCCAGACGCCGGTGCCTCGGCGCCCGTGGCGCCCTTCCCGCCGCCGCAGTCGGCCAAGTACAAGGTGCCGCACGCGTCGGCGCCCGGGGTCGTGGTCCCGCCGCCCCCGCCGCCCCGCTCCCGCCCGCAGGCGGAGGGCGGGGCGCGCCAGGCAGGCGCGGCTCCATGCGAGCAGCCCGGCGGCGGCTGGGAACCCATGGGCAGTGGGCGCAGCGGGTGAGGGTCGGAGGGGTGTTTTTGGTGGGGAGTTGTGCCTGGATCTGCGCTGGTTCTGCCGACCATGTACCACCGTTGCAGTGGCAGGCTGGGATCCTGTTACATGCCAGCTTCATCAGTACCTCATCCTTGCTGACCCATCACAAGAGACCCATGACGACACACACTTGACAATCAGCCGAGTGGGAGGACACTCCTGTTTCCCCCAGCTGCCGATCACATATTTCTTCACCCGAGGTCTCTGCATCCGATGCCCCTGCTCAGAAATCCATGGACGTTCATGGTCTGTTCAGCACGTAAACTTCCCTTCCATACACTCTACACGATGCGCGCAGGGAGGATGTGCAGGGCCCCAGCATAGTGCGTGCCGCCGCCTCGCGGCAGCCGTCCCCGACGCCGGCACGCACCCGCACGCCGCCCGCCTACGCCGGCCCCGCCACCCCGGCCCTGTCGGCTCCGGGGCCACCCCATGGCACCCCTCCTGCAAACTGCCATGGCACCCAGGCAGGCGGCTGGCCCGGACTGATGCAGGGCCAACTAGCAGTCGGTCATGGTCAGGCGAATGCCCAGGCGACGGCCCACCAGGCCCCCGCCTGGGAGCCGCAGGGCGGCACCACGGGCGAGAGCCTGCGCCAGCACCACCTCGCGCCCAGCCTGCCCGGCGACCCCTTTGCTGCCGCGCCGCCGCCGCGCTTCGACGCATTCAACGGCTACGGCCGCGTCGCGCCGGGCCTGGGCGAGTGGCCGGCGCTGCACCAGTTCGACCCCGCTTCGCTGCTCGGCTGGCCGGCGCAGGGCCCCGCTGCGGGCCCCGGCGCCGGGGTTGGGCCGGGGGATGTGCTGTGGGCCAGCCGCGGCGAGGCAGAGGGGCTGCCACCCCATGCTCCGCCCGCCGCTTCCGCGTATGCCGGCTTTGATCTGGGAGGCGGGGGGTATGCGCCGCCGTCTGGGCCACCCTTTGGAGCACGCGAGGCCGAGGCAGGTGCCATGGACGACTGGTCTGAGCTCCAGGCGCAGCTGCCTTCTGATCTGGGTGATGTGCTGAACCTCTGACCCCCTGTAACCAGGACCCGCCTATATGACACGCAGTGGGTGGACAACTGTGGCCAAAGGTTGTTGGGGGGTGGGAATCTGGTGCACAGGTGACGGAGCAGGTCAACCCGCTGGCATCCACCTCACGTCTGCTGCTTGGCGAGGAAGCCAGCGAGGGAGCGCTGGCCGGGCGGGCGGAGTTTCTCCTGCGGCACGGCCGCGGGCTTGCGACGGGGTGGGGCTGAGGATATCGCAGTTTCGCCGGGAGCTGCGTCTGTCCCTGAGGTCGCGTGGTGCGGAGCAGCACCAGCTGGCGTGGCTGCGGCGGTGGCCGCCGTGTCAATGCTGCCGCCCACTCCCTCGCCCTCTGCATGCGTTCCTGCCTCGCCAGCCGCGCCTCCCACCCCGCCGCCAGCCGCTCGCCGCTGCCTCTTGGGTGGCCCCCCCCTCGCTCCAAACATGTCCCGGATGGAGCGCTGGCGGGTGTCCACCAACGACTCCCAACGCCGTTGCCACAGCGCGCAGGGCTGGTCGGGGGCGGGGGGCGGCCAGACCCTGCAGGCGCAGCAGCAGTCCGGCGTGGTCGCTCCACTTGGGCGGCAGGCGGTCAGTGCCCACCACCTCGCAGGCAACCACGCTGGGCAGCAGCCCTGGCGTGCACAGCACGTAGTCAATGCGCAGCCCGCGGTTGAAGGCGCGGGCGGAAGTGCGCTCGTCCCAGACGGTGTACACGTCGGCAACCCCCAGGTGCAGGCGGCGCCAGACGTCAACATAGGCCGCGGGGCCCTCGGTGAGGGCATGCAGGGCTGCCAGCTCCTCGGGTGCATACAGGTCGTCAAAGGGCATGGAGGCGTGAACGTCGGCGGGGGTGGCGACCACGTTGAAGTCGCCCACCAGGATCACCTGGTGTGGGGAGGAGGAGAGGGGAGTTGTTGGGCGTGCAAGGGGGAAGGCGGAACACAGAGGGCCCATGAAACTGTCCCAGGCATTCTCTTCCACAGCTCATCCCCATCCCACCTGCCTGCCCTGCTTCCGAAAGCCGTCCGCCGTGCGCTTCAGGGCGTGCAGGAACTTGAGTTTGAAGCCGAGGCGGGGACGCGCCGGGCGGTCGCCGGCATTGGGGACGTACACGTTGATCAGGACAAAGGCGCCGTGGTCCGACACTACCACCCGGCCTGGCGTGGGACACAGGAGGGGTAGGGTTTGCGTCTTGAACAGGGCTGTAGGGAATCTGCCCATGTTTATGGGTATGCTGCACTCTAGATGGTGTCACCACACTGCCGACGCACCCCAGCCATTCCCAAGGGACCCCTTCATACACATGCACTGCTGCACCTCAACCGCCCCCCAGCCTCACCCTCGCGATCGATATCCGACTCTCCAGAGGCAAGGCAGTCCACCTCGACATGCGCTGCACGCCACTGGCCCCTCGCGTAGGTCACCACGCCCGAGTAGCCTTTTTTCTCTCGAGACACCGCCCAGTAGGACTGTCACCAGAGGGGAAACTCAGGGGGGTTGCAGGCCCACACCGCTCCTCAGAGAGACCTTGTCGTATCAGATTGATTCACATCCCCAACCAAGCTCGTTGCCAGAAAAAAACTATCTTCACGGCGTTCACCTCGCAGTCATCCACACACACAATCTCCTTGGTGAGCTGAGCTTCTACCAGCTTTGTTTCCTGCAGCAAGTGGGAGACAAAGGCAATTCTGAGTGCGAGACACCCCACATCATCCCAGCACGAGTCCAACCCTATCGTTGATCTGGACCACCACCATGACCAGTACCAGCACCTGGAAGCATGCAATGTCCAACTCCAGCTCGCCGAAGAGGTCTGACAGCGAGCCGTACTTGAGAGCAATGTTCTTGAGAGTGGGTGCCTGCATGAAAGTCGTATGGGTTCCTGGAAACTTGCCAGGATGAAGCTTTTGAATGCCACAAGAATCAAATGTATCTTGACCACTTACCAGTGCAGCTACATTCCAGCAAAGGAGGTTCATTGACCCCATGGCAGGACCTCCTCAAGGCGACTACCAGGACTCAGCATGCAATGCTGTTGACCTGCCATGCCAGCAAGCTAGTCGGGCCTTTGGTTCCATCAGGTGCTTATACTCATATGCTATAGTGGTGCAATTGGGAGGGAAAGCTTCAGCTGCATGCTCGTGCTTGGGCGACCTTGAACTTTACGTGTGCCTTGCTCGTCAATTGTTGCTTGTAGGTATTCGGCAACGGAATCAGAGCGTCATGATGGTGCCCCTACACCGTGACATTGCGCCTGCAGCATAAAGTATCGATCATCTGTGCAGTCCAGTCGACCCACCACCACTTTGCGAGACCCCATTCCCGTCTGGGGTTCCTGTCGTTCAAGCTGCATGATGGGGCGCGAGGAACCCGAGTCCCCCGACGTGAAGCATGGCCTAGACTCGATCTCTTTCCATACGTACACCTGTATCTGCATCAATCGCATTCGCACTCTGATATCTTTGGAACTAGGCTATCACATAAACCTGCCCGGCTACACGGGACTTTGACATCAATCGCTTAAGCACATGGGTGACAGGAGAGGAGGTCGCGGCGGACAGCAGGGTGGCAGCAGGTATTCTGAAGAGGATAGTATGGAGAATACTGGAGCGTGCAGAGGCACCAACTGCCGAGATTCGGAGATCGATCCCCACGGGCGGGCTTGCTGCGCAGCATCTCTGACACCGTCCCTGCTGGTGACATCATAGGGGAGGAAGCCAGGTCTCGCGGAGCCGAGATGGAGATCGGACGCCTCAGGGCGGGCGCAGGGACTCCATGACGCCGAAGGGCGGTGTCAGCAAGTCTTCTGGTGGAGATGGCGGACGACGTGGGGGCCGAGGGCGTGGACGGGGAGGCTCTTCCGGTAAGCCATGAGGAGTGGCGCTGGAATTGGCGGTGCCAGGGGCATTCGTCCCACTGCAAGCCCTCCACCCCGCGCCTAAAGCCATGCACTTGTCAAACCATGCACCAGGTGGGCGTGGCGGTGCCAAGCAGAGCAAGGCCACCAAGGAGGAGCTGGATGCCGACCTGGACGCCTACTTCCTCAAGGATGGCAAGACAGCTGCCCAGGTGCAGCCCCACAGCTGGGGTGTGTGGATGGTTTGGTGAAGTCTGGCACGCCGATGCCCTCCCACTGCATCCCTCTCGGCTCTCGCACGCAGAAATTGAACTCAGACCTCGACGACTACTGGTCCAAGAAGCCGGCTACCGCCACGGAGGAGGAGGCCGCCCCCGCTGCTGCAGAGGAGGCCCTCCCCGTGGAGGAGGATAAGGTCCCCGCCGAATAGGAGCTCGGAACCTCTGCATGCAGAACAGGGAGACCTCGGGGCTACGCCCTTCCCGCCTTCCAGCGCCTCACTCACATGACTCTGCCCGGCCATTGGCATGCCTGCATGCCTCTGCAAGGCAGTCCTTTTCAGCGGGCAATTGCACATGACGCTTTCCACTCTGTTCAGCAAGTGCTTCGTGCCACTTCATGGTAGTAGGGAAAACATGAGGAGGGGCCAGACCTAGCCTAGGGAACAGGTTGGCAGGTGCATGCACTAGTTTTGCCCTACACTCAGCGACGGGCACGCTTTGCCCGTCCCCCGGCAACCGCTGGCTCGGCCGCAGGGGCCACCTCAGAAGCCATTGCCTTGTCCCCGCCGGCTGAGGCACCCACCAGCTGTGCCTGCTTCTGCTGCTTCTTGGCCTCCGCCGCCACCTGGGCCCGCATCCTCCGCAGGCAGTAGCGCACCGCCGCTGTGTGAGTGGCGTGCGGGGAGCGGTTGACTACTCCTGGCCCTACTTTGCAGGTTGTTTGCACAGAAAAAGCCAGCAAGGAAGGTGGCACCCCGCCCCGGGCGCCGCTCTAGTGCCCCTACCCGATTGGTCACCACACTATGCCTCCTGCCCTCACCCTCGTCGTTGTCTTCCTGCTCCATGAGGGCCTGGATGAGGCCCGCATCAAAGTCCTCATACTCCTCGATCAGCGCCACGGTGACCTTGTCTGCTCACAATGTTGGATGGGGGGTGGAAGGTCAGGAGTTGGTTTCTCGAGCATGACTCTTGTTGGTCCACAGCATGCCCCAGGGCAAAGCCATTGACCGCAGGATCCCTTGCCCCTGTCCCCCCTCGGCTGCCGCATCACGCTTGGAGCGGCTGTTTGGCGTTCAGTGCTGGACCCCCCCACCAGACACGCACCCTGCTGGGATGGAGGGGCCGGCACGGAAGGCGGAATCGGGCTCAGGGCCTCGACCTGGTGGGCAGATATGGCAGGTTCCCGAGGCCCTGTCTCGGCCGAGGATGCCGGCTGCTCCGGCGCCGCAGCTGGTGCCGCGTCCTCAGACACAATTGCGGCGTCAGACGCGCCCTCGCCGTCAGACACGCCTGCGCCCTCCTCGGCCTCCTCGTCGACGCCGGCCACACCCTCCTCGCCCCCCTCGTCGACGGCGGCCACACCCTCCTCGCCCTCCTCGCCGGCCGCCCCGCTGGCCTCTTCACGAGCACGTGCGATGCTCTCCTGCAGCTTGGCGACGACCTCGGCCATGTCGCGGTTGACCGCCGCGCCCTTCAGGAACTCCATCAGATCCGTCTGTGGGCGAAGGAATAGTTCGAGTGGGTCAGACGACTCTGCGCTGTATCAAGGGGGCCGGCTGCTGAGCAGCTGGGCTCAGACCTCCACCGCCAAAGAGCTCACGGCCGCCGTCGCCTCGGGAAACCCCGGTGCAATAGTGGCCCCGGCGCTGCTTGCCGCACTCCAAGTCCCTACCACAGCCGCCGTCGCACCTTGCAGGTCGGGCAGGGCTTGAGCTGCTTCCTGACGCGGATGGAGCGGATGCCTGCGGCGTGGCCACCCCCCGCCACCTCATCGGCAATGCCGGCAAATTTCTTGTCCAGGCACGCCTTGCAGAAGTTGTGGCCTGATGTTGTGTGAGCGAGGGGCGGGGATTGCGGTGGTGAAAGGGTGGATGGGTGGGGGCTGGTGTGGCAAATTAAATCACCGGCCATCCTTGCAAACTCTGCCGCTGAGGCCCCAAGCCACGCAGGCGTCGACTGTGCCCGCCCATGAATCGTCCCCGCCGCCTCGCTGCACCACCCAGCACCACCCCTCTGCCGTCCTTGCCTCCTCGCCACGCACCGCAGGGCGTGGACACCGGGTCCACCACCGTCTTCTTGCAGATGCCGCAGGCAAACTCCCGCAGCGCGCGCTCCTGCTCCGACAGGCGCTTTCGCACGGTCTTGGACCCGCCCTCCTCGCCGCCGGCGCGCTGCTGGCTGACCGGGGCGGCGCGGGTCCAGCCCCACTCCTACAAAGGCAAAGCGGGAGGGGCAGGGGCGGGGGGGGAGGAGGATGACTTTGGCATACCCGCGTGCCGCCGTTTCCCTCTGCCCTTCTGCGCTACACGACTCCCCTGCCCTCCCAGCTGCCTGCCCACCTGCTTGTCCTCCAGCCAGCCCCACCAGGGCTTGTCTGCCATGGAGTAGACCTGCCCCTTGTCGGCCTGCTTCATCTCCTCCAGGGCGGGGGCGGGCAGCGCGGCGTCGTCCACGGGCCGGTCCCCGGTGTCTGGCGAGGAAAGAGGGGCGGGGATCACGAAACGGGGTCGAGGGTTTCCTACAGACGCACATTCCTCAGGACGCCTGGCTCGAAGCAAACAGCGAGCGTGGCGCTGGGGCATCCCAGGCCTCACTGTCCGCCTCTGCACCCTCGAAGCTCCGCAGGCCGGCCACCACACCCCCATGGTCCCACACGCCCTCACCCTCCGAGGACCAGGGGGCTGGCTCATTGTCGCAGCGCATGAAGAGGTAGCGGCACATGAGGGGGCCCTGCGCGCCCGGCTTGCGCCAGCAGCGGACGATGCGGTACACGCCGTCGTACCGCACGGGGGTCTCCACCCCGGGGGCGTACGCCGAGCGCTTCTCCTGCGACAGAGGAGGGGGAGGCGCAGGGGTTGAGTCTGATGGTGAGGGTGGGTTTGGGAGATCCAGAGTCTCTGCGCGCTTCATGCGTCAGGTTTGGCCAGTCAAAGGATCCCAGAAAACACTCCAACAGCCCAACCTCCACGCCCCGCCAGCCCACCTTGTAGGACCGCACCACACGGACCGGCAGACCCTTGGTGCAGGACAGCTTCAGCGCCTTGTTCATGTTGTCAAACGTCTGGTCGAAGGATTGCACCTGGGGGAAGAGAATGGCTTGGGAGGGGGATGGCGAGGAGGCAAGAGGGGATTCTGATTTGAGCCCCTGCACTCAGTGCAGCCGACCGCCCCGGCAACAAGTCCGCCTGCTGCAGGCATCTACAGCAAGAGATGGAGCCCCACACTGGGACTGCGATCCCTGCCCGTGACCAGGGCTCATCGACAGCGCCCTCCCGCGTCTCAGCCCCACGCCTGGTGGCCCCCTCTCGCCCACCTTGCTGGTGCGTTTGTTTCCAGACAGGTCGCGCCCGCCAGAGCCGGTGTAGAGGAACCACTCCCCTTCGTCACGGTCGTCCTCGTACCTGGCAGCGCAGGGTGTGAGGGGAAACGAGCACTTGAGATGAGGGGGCATCCCCGCATGCCACGCCCAGCCTGGCTCTGTCGGTAGGTGCTTTCCTGCATGCCATGCCTGCCCAGGAGCTGCACCGGGCCCAACAACTGTCTCTCCCTTGCACAGCTTCCAGCCACACAAACCTGTGCACCCTTGGGCACCCTCTCAAACCCACCCACCCCGCGGCCTGGACGACTCACCCTCCGGAGAGGACCACAGACTGGGCCCCCACGTTGCTCTGCCCCGCAATCCCCGCCACGTGCGGGAAGTGGGCGCCCCACTGCCGGCAGTCCAGGCGGTCCTTCCACCACTCCCCAACCTTGATGCCCTGCAGAGAAGGACAGGGGCATGGGGCCAGGAGTGGGTGGTGCATGGCACGACACTGCAAAGTGCCACCCAGATGCCGCGGCAACCTGTCCCCCTCGACCCCTTCCTCAGCGCCCTCTCTGTGATACCCCCGAGCCCTGGCCGTCGCCTCACTGTGCCACGTGGGTCGGCGCTGGCAGGGATGGGGCCAAAGTGGTCGTTGGGCACCGTCACCATGATGCGGCCGCTGGGAAGCAAGGAAGATGGGGACACGGGCTGAGTGACCAAGGGAGGGCGAGAGAAGGGGCAGCACTCTGTGAGCTGGTGCCTTGATGGCACCGGCATAGCTAGAGCGGGACCAGCCAAGGAGCAAATGGCAGCATTCTGGAACACTCAAAGAGGCTGCGACGCCGCCACACAACCCCAGAGCTCAGCGCCCACCTGGCGGCATTGGCACGCCCGGCCCTCACAGCACGATCCGTGGTGAAGGCCTCGTCTGGGCGGTCGGCGTCGTTGATGCTGCAGGGGGGGAGGGGGAGGGGGAGGGGTTGCGCAGTGATGACACGATGCACCGACACGGTGGAGCAAGGGAAGTGGACACAAGAATCCACCGTCTCCCTCACCGCTCAAAGGGCTTGGAGGAGGGGTTGACGGTGCCGATCTTGAAGGCACGGATGGCCATCGTGAGCGCGGTGTTGATGCGAGGGTTTGCGCAGAACTTGGCACTGAACTGCATGGGTGAGCGTGGAGGTGGTGCCTTGTTGGGACGAGTACCACAGCTGTGGGGTTTCCAAGGGTTCGGAAGGAGTTGCCATACCTCTCACACAACCACAGAGAGGCAGAGGCTGATCGAAGTCCAGCTTTTTGCACAGAGAAAGCGTGAAGAGCACCTCACAGCCAGCTGGTGTCCTATCCGGCATTGCTACCTGCGGGCCCTTACACACCACTGCGCTCCAGATCAACCGGTCAGCCCTGCGTCCCCATACCTCTGTACGACAGGTGGGGCAGCATTTCTTCTTCGACTTGTTGACATGGTCTTGGAAACACTTGAGGCAGAAGTTGTGCTGGCAGGGAGCCTGTGAGGATTGGGGGATTCCAGTGGGCAAGGGACTGCAGGTGATGCCTTGCAGGTAATCCAGGGCTACCATCACAGAGGGGTGCCTTGCCATCTGAGATGACAGCCACCTTGCTGGCCATGCAGAGCTCACCAACCCAGCGGGTTGCTCACAGTGACAGGGCGATTACAGAGCTCGTGGCAGATGGTGCACTGAAGGGTGTTGGACAGCCCATGCTCGGGCTTGGGCTCGGACTTCACTGCTGGAGATGAGATGCACGATCAGAGGTGATGATGCGCGCAGTGCACCACGGAGGACGTCCACCGCCCCTTGAATCAGATGGCGAGGCCCCGTGGCACGGCAGGTTGCCCACCCCGACCCTCCTCCCCACCTGCTCCGTCCTCCTGGTCCCCTTCCTCCTCGGCAGGCGCTGCCCACTTTCCGGACATCAACTGCTGCCGCCTCACCGCCTTCTCGGCGTCTGTGAGGTTGGGATCCCTCTGTATCTCCATGACACGCTTCATCATCGCCGCCTGGTCCATGGTGTCGTGATGCTGGGGTGTTCCAAAACCCGCAGAGGAGACAGGCCACCGGCCGGCCGTCGCAAAAAGACACAGCTAGCAGCTCGATTCAGGGTTATTAAGCTCTCTGCTGAAAGTCTACGCTCATGAGCTTGCACGAGTATGGGTGCGTGCAGCCAAGGTGCAGAAGGACAAACTTTGAATTGCCCCGCGCGCGCAGCATGCCGAACAGGCTGCGACAGGTCGGCCAAGCCCAGCAACACGACACACAGGATTGCCGATGAACTTGTCCATAACACATACGCTTGAGCTTCTGTTTGGGTTTTCCACATATTAAGATTGGGACTGTCGTATGGCCTTGACACTTACATGCCAATGCAGATGATTTCAGTGTGATGGTCGTGTATTGTACTCTTACCTCCACAGTCCCACCCTGAGGGGGCACACGTGACAATGAACAGCTGGGTCGCAGAGGAAAACCCTGCAAAAATTGTTTAAGAAAGCTGTATGATGTAGCACAAACATCTCACCTTTGAGTCACCACTCTTGGCAGCGCACAGCAGCCTCGAAGGACCTGTATAATTAAGGAGACGGCTCATAATCCGGAGTATACCTGCATCTTTCTAAGGTAACCTTACACAAGTGGAAACCTCTCATCCTGTTCATGTCAAAAGCGCCAAAGCACAGGCTTCCTCACCTCCTCCCCCTGCAATCCCCTTGTCCAGTGGTGGGGAATAGCATCGCGCGCGTGCATGAGGGACCACCCAAAGGTCACGTCTCCTGTCGACGAATAGCAACCACAAAATGCCTTACATCAGTAGTGGCTTGATGCGCCGTTCAGTCTCTTGAATGGAGGACTGCATCATCACGGAGCGCGAGGCGCAGCAGATCCGAGAGCAACTGAAGAACCGGAGGAAGTCTCCGGGGAAGTCCAAGCTCGCGGGCAGCAGTGGGCCCCTCGCTCGGCCAATCGCACCGAGGGAACCCCCGCCAGTGAAGAAGGCGTTCAGGACCTTCAAGGAGAGGTGGCTGTCCTGTGCGGGAGATCTGGACACGAGCCAGCAGCTGAAGGCGGTGGAGCAGGGGATCGAGATCTTCTCACTCCTGCCCAAGGAATCCAAGTACGCCCAGCACCGCCTGAAGCTCCTGCGCAAGGTCCAGCTGCTCCTCACCAGCACTGAGTGAGAAGCATTGGTTTTATATGTATGGTGGCAAGGGTGCCGATGGGGTCAGCTGGAGTTAAATTCCAGGGAGGATGGGGGGCGGTCCTGTGGTGCATGCGGCTCCACGTCCGTTTGAGGGTACTGATGCCTGCAACCCCCCCCCCCACCACACACACAAAAAATCCACCAGAGCGGAGGGTACTGAGGAGCGCCAGGCCGAACTCGCTGCCCTGCTTCAGCAGCTGCAGCTCTGACTCATCCCAGCCATGAGGATGCTCCGTGCACTGCGCTTTGCTCCAAAGCCTGGCAAGCTCTGGCCCAGAGGCGTCTCCACATCACCATGCCCCGGTCTCGATGCAGAGGTGGTGATTGCGGGGGGGGGGCCCACTGGCCTCATCACCGCTCTGCTCCTGGCACGCTGGGGGGTGCGCAGTTTGGTGGCCGAGCGCAGCACCGCGCTGACTCAGCACCCCCAGGCCCACCTCATCAATCACCGCTCCATGGAGGTCATGCGCGCCGTGCCAGGTGGGCCAACGAGCTGTACATGAGTTGGGTTGGGAGGGACAGACAATTGGGCAGTTGTGTATTGATATCTGGAGCCCAGCATTCCTGGTGGTCTGGGGAGGTCTGGTGGCTGCAGCATGCTGGAAACTCGTGGGCACAGCAGTGCCCTGTCATGTCAAGGCCTGTGTACCACTCGACATCAAAGGGGCCCCTTTTCATGTTGAATGCGTCGATTCCTACTCCCGACAGGCCTGACGGACCAAATATGGGCTGGAGTGCCCCCCCTGGACCAGTGGCGGAGCTTCGTCTACTGCGGCAGCATGCTGGGCGACCTGCTGGGCAGCGTGGACCACTTTCCGGGCCAGGCAAGCCCCCACCTGCCCCTGCTGTCGCCCGAGCCGGTGACCCACCTGTCTCAGCACAAATTGGTGCCGCTGCTATGGCAGGCGGCGCTGGCCGATCCCCTGGTCCAGGTGCTGGCAGGGTGCAGCGTGCGCAGCGTGCGCCCCGGCGAGGGCCACGTGGAGGTGGACATCCAGGAGAGGGCCGCCGGCATGCTGCGCACGCTGCACGGCGCCTACGTGGTGGCGGCCGACGGCGCGCGGGGCGGGCTGCGCCAGGCGGCGGGTGTGGAGCTCCAGGGCAGCGCCGGTCTGCAGCACCTCATCAACATCCACTTTGTGTCCCCAGAGGTGCGTGGATTGGTGGAGGGTGGATGAGGGAATGGATGGGTAAGGCTGTGGATCGAATGATGAACAGAATGTTTGGCTGCCAGCTCACCCTTCCGCCGTTGCGCCCCGTCCATCGAAGCTCTTCTCCTTGGATCCATACCCTAGTCCCTTTATCCCCCCGTTCAGCCTCCAATCCGCTCTACTTAATCCCCTCACACTATCCAAACCCTCGCAGCTGGGGCGGCGGCTGCGTGGCAGGGAGGGCATGCTCTATTTTGTCTTCTCCCCGGCCACCATCGCGGTGGTGGTGGCCCACAACATCTTGGAGGGCGAGTTCGTGGCGCAGATCCCCTACTTCCCGCCCCTGCAGTCCGCCGCAGACTTCACGCCGGGGGCGTGCTCGCGCCTGGTGGCCGCCGCCATCGGCGACCCTGCGGTGCCTGTTGAGCTGCGCACCGTCAGACCTTGGGCCATGAGTGGGCTGGTGGCGGCCACCTACCAGCCGCACAGCCGCCTGTTTTTGGCGGGGGACGCAGCGCACGTCTTTCCCCCCTCCGGTGAGGCCCGTGGGATCGTAGATGATGGCATGCTTTTTATGGGTGGGTGTTACGGGGTGCCCTGCTCCAATCCGTCGTTATGTGTGCGACTGGACATCAACATGCAACGCTCTCACCGCAGCCTGGCCAGCTTAGCCAGACGTGCAACGCCCCCTCCTCTTCATGCAACCCCATGCCCTCCGTCATCCACAGGCGCGTTTGGGATGAACACCGGCATCCAGGATGCACACAACCTGGCCTGGAAGCTGGCTGCGGTGCTGGGCAAGGAGGCACGCCCCTCCCTGCTGCACTCCTACTCCGCGGAGAGGCGGCCTGTGGCACTGGCCAACATGCAGCTGAGCGTCCAGAACTTTTATGAGGCGCTACGCATCCCAAAAGTGGGATTGGGATTGTGCAGGGGGGCAAAGGGGTTGGCGAACCCCGACTCTGAGTCAGTGTGGATGGGCCCCACTGGGAGGTGTTGCACCATTCAAGAAACCTCCATGGCATTCGGGAAAGAGGGCATTGATTTTGTATGCCACGGTTGTTCAGAGCGGTGCTAACCAGAGGACCCAATCTAAATTCATGTGTTGCAAGCTGCGCCATGCCATCAGGACCACCTCATTCATACTTTCCTCCCTCCCCACTCTCCAACAGCTCATGGGGCTGGACTACCACACCGCCCTGCGGCTAAACGACACCCTCACCTCCCCCGCGGTCGCCTGGCTGCCCCCCGGCCTGCGCCGGTCGGCGCTGGAGGCCGGCCTGGCGCTGGGTCAGGCGGCGGCGCCCGCGCTGGGTACGCTGCGCTCGCGCGACATCCGCGCCGCGCTGGAGGGCGGGGAGACGCTGCGCCTGCAGTACCCCAAGGAGGACCTAGGCTTCGTGTATCGCAGCCCGGACGCCGCACTGGCGCCCTCGGCTGCCGACCTGGCGGAGGTGGACCTGGCGGCGCGGCCGCGGCCGCGGCACGCGCCCTACACCCCCGCGACCCTGGTCGGAGGGCGGTTGCCCCATGCCGCGGTGGATGCCGTCATCTCCCGCGGTTGGCTGGCCGGGGGGGCGGCTGGGCCGGCCTCGACCGTGGACCTGCCCTGCCTGGCCGCCAGCCCCACGCCCCTGCTCCTCCTGCTGCCTTCCGGATACGAGGCTCTGGAAAGGAGGGCATGGCTGGCCGCTGCCGAACGGCTTGGCCCGCAGGGGGTGCTTCCTGTGGTCCTGCATCTCGGCCCTGCCCCAGCGGGGGCCGCCGCCGAGCGAACCAATGCCCTGGAGCTGCAGTGTGACCCGGCATCGGGTGCTTGGGCGACTACGGGGGGCGCGCGGGTGCTGCTGGTCCGGCCGGATGGGCACATCGGGGCCAAGTGGAGCGAGCGGGTGGCCGACGCGGCGCGGGCGCAGGGAGCCCTGGAGCAGGCGCTGGCTGCTGTTATGCATTGCGCCTTAACCTGAGCGTTAACTTTCCATTCCCTCTGCATATTGATTTGGATTTGGCACTTTTGCATTGTAGAGCCGATGCCACGGCCATGGAGGGGAGGGGAGGGAGAGATCCTTCAGCAAGAATTTTATTTTCCCGCGCCGTCGATCCCGGCCTGTTTCAGACAACTCCACCCCGGAAATTGCACCCCCACCCCAAAGCTCATCTGGGCAAGAGGGCCATAGGACTCAGACAGTGCACTTTGCAATTAAAAAGACTACCATTCTAACAATGGCGTCCTTCGAGAACTTCGATGACGACCGCGACCAGATATACATCAGCGGGCTGCCCCGGGATGTCACAGAGGATCAGCTGGCTTCCCACTTCGGGCAGATCGGTACCATCAAGCTGGACAAGAAGAAGCGCCCCCCGACACCCAAGGCACGCATCGGGGTCCTCGATGTGGCGGGCAACGGGGCGCGTTGGCTGCGTGCAAGACATCCCCAGCCTTCCCGGACAGAGGTGCAAGGCTTCGCTCATCCTCCCGGCACCCTTGTCCCTCCCGCAGATCTGGTTGTACCGAGACAAGGCCACCGGGCAGCTGAAGGGCGACGCCACCATCACATACGAGGACCCCTTCGCAGCCAGTCAGGCCCCTTCGTGGTTTGACGGCAAAGAATTCTTGGGCAAGTGATGGCTGCCCTGGGTGTCCGGTGGTGTTCGGGGGTTGGGTAGCACGCCTGTGGACCGCCTGGCCAGCCCCGCGTCCAACCCCTGCTGCTCGGACAACAACGAAAGCAGGGAAGACCCTGCACGTTAGCTTGGCGGAGAAGCCCAGAGCTGCAGCCGGCGGGGAGGCCTACGGTCGAGGTGGAGGAGGTGGTGGGTATGGCGCCGCGCCGGGAGGTGGCTACGGCGACCGCGGCGGCTATGGTGGTGGCGGCGGTGGTGGAGACCGGGGCGGCTACGGAGGCGGTGGCGGCGGTTATGGTGGCGGTGGCGGCGGCTACGGGGGAGGTGGCGAACGCGGTGGATTTGGTGCGTATTTTCAGGGTCTCGCCATGGGGTCCTCTTTGTTGGCTCTGGTCTGATGCCTGTGATCGGTTTGCACCTTCAAGCCAGCTGCTCCCTCCCCTCCGACGGTGCCACCTCTGTTGAACGCAGCCCTTGCACCCCCTGACACCTGGCTGTCTCACACACTTGCAGGTGGCGGTCGTGGCCGCGGCGGAGGCGGCGCGCGCGAGGGCGACTGGCTCTGCCCCGGCTGCGGGAACAATTGCTTCGGCTGGCGCGATGTTTGCAACCGGTGCAACACGCCCAAGGGCGACGCCGGGGCCGGCGGCGGCGGCGGCGGCGGTCGTGGCGACTTTGGCGGCGGTCGTGGCGACTTTGGCGGCGGCCGCGGCGGGGGTCGTGGTGGCGGTGGCGGTCGGCCCGGTGAGTGGGAGACTGGGTGTAGAGCTTGCTGGTTGCAAGGCATCGACACTCGGATCAGGCCATTTGTCGTTGCTGAAGAGCAGGCAACAATGGAGAACGACGTCATGAGCCACATCCCTTCACCCCCAACCCGGCAGGTGACTGGCCTTGCCCCAGCTGCGGCAACAACTGCTTCGGCTGGAGGGACCGCTGCAACCGCTGCAACACGCCCAAGCCCGAAGGCGCTGCTGGTGGCGGCGGGGGTGGCGGGTATGGAGCACCTCCACCTCGAGACAATTATGGAGGCGGCTACCAGTACCAGGAGCAGGCCCCTCCACAGTACCCGCCCCCAGCACAGGGCGGCTACCCTCCCCAGGGCCAGGCATACGGCGGTCCCCCTCCCCAGGCAGGGGGCTATGACCCCCATGGGGCCCCGCCTGCGGCCGGATATGGACCCCCTGCAGGAGCCTACGACGGTGTGTGTGCTGTGGTGGGCAGGTGCACTGGGGCTTGAGCCATCGTTGTGCTGGCACGGGACCATAGGTGATGCTTTTGCCACACCTTGGGTGTCACATTCTTCTCATCATCCTGCGAAAGTGGCGTCTCCACCCCCGTCTTTTGG